AGGCACCCGCCACAATGCCTGGCTAATTTTGTTGTTGTTGTTGCCGTTTGGCTGAGGCTGGGTTTGAACCCACTACCCTCGGTATTTGGGGCCGCCGCCCTGCTCACTGAGGCACAGGCGCTGCCCACGCCCGGCTATTTTTTGTCGCAGCTGTTATTGATGTTTAGCTGGCCTGGCCCGGTTTCGAACCAGCTAGCCTCGGTGTAGGTGGCTGGCGCCGTAACCACTGTGCTAGGGGCGCCGAAACTTTTAATGGAAGACATTTTTCAGAATTCTTTAAATATCTGCAGTTTTACATATTAGTGAGATGTAGAGGAAGACAATACCATAGAACAGGCAATTAAACTATTACCCCAATCAGAACCACGTCAGAACCTCACTTGAATAGGGAAAAGCCAGAGCACCTTGAACTTCTGGTACATACTGTTTTGACAACAATACTTCCAAGTTGGCAAGGCAGAAAAAAAGACTTTCGTCTCCTTCATCTTAAATTTATAGAAGAAGAGTCATTCAAAATAATTAATAAGGATTTTGAGGCGTCCCCAGCCGCTGCCTGGCCTCACCACCCCTCGCTGGCACGCACGCACATTCATTCTCCGTCCTCGAGCCCCTTCTGCTCTTCTCTCCCACCCGAGGAGCAGCTCAGCACGGGGCCTTCTGGGACCCAGGTCGATCCCGTCGCTGCCGTGGCCGTCTCCTGAGGGGAGCGAGAAGAGGGAGAGAAACGGGGATCGGGGAGAAAACGCCCGAGTCGCCACCGGAGAGGAGTCGACTCCTTCGCAGCAGCCAGCAGAGAAGCCCAACCACCTGCTCGCCCTTGCCCTGCCGGGTTCACAATACAGCCTGCTTCTGCAAAGTGGTACGATAGAAGGGACTGTGTCTTCATTGAATTTTGTGTTGAAGACGGTAAAGATGTTAATGTCAATTTTGAAAAATCCAAACTTCCGTTCAGTTGTCTGGGAGGAAGTGATAATTTTAAACATTTAAATTAAATTGATCTTTTTCACTGTATTGATGCCAATGATTCCAAGCATAAAAGACGGCCAGGTCAATTTTATGTTGTTTACGAAAAGGAGAATATAGCCAGTCTTGGCTAAGGTTAACAAAAGAAAGGGCAGAGCTTAATTGGCTTAGTGTGGACTTCAATAATTGGAAGGACTGGGAAGATGATTCAGATGAAGACATGTCTAATTTTGATCGTTTCTCTGAGATGATGAACAACATGGGTGGTGATGAGGGTGTAGATTTACCAGAAGTAGATGGAGCAGATGATGATTCACAAGACAGTGATGATGAAAAAATGCCAGATCTGGAGTAAGAAATATCGTCATCAACCGGATTTTGAGAAAGACAAATAACTTCTCTGCAAGATTTCATAACTGAGACAATTCCTTAGTTGATAGCTCTAAAGGCAGATGCTGTACTTGCCTGCTTTAAACCATTTTTCAACCTGTCCCCCTCCTTTCCCCCAAGCTGTTTGTTTTTTAAAGGCTTCTTTAAGGGTTGGTATGTACCGTTGTATGGGGCAATTTTAATCAGCTAAGGCAATAAACTTTATGCATAAACATTTCCTAGACTTCCATGAAGCTGTTGAGATCCTAGGAGATTGATACAGCAGTTGTGATAAATAAAAACGTTTCACCTAAGTCTCCTTGTCTTCATAACATAGATATTGACATGATAGGAAGTTTTTAGCTTAGGGAAAGGTCACTAAATTTAGAATATGGACTCAAAAGTGGCTGAAATAAATTGGCTGACACCTTAAACTGGTAACCTGCTTTTCCTCTGGTTTATCCTTCAGGATTGTTCCACTAAAATTTATTTTTCTTTCGTTCTTTCTTTTTTTTTTTTTTTTTTGGAGACAGAGTTTCAAGCTGTAACCCTGGGTAGGGCGCTGTGGTGTCACAGCTCACAGCAACCTCCAACTCTTGGGC